TATTAGCATAGAGTAGAATAGAATATTAGCATAGAGTAGAATAGAATGGAATGGAATAGAATAAAATAGAAATCTAGGTGTCCCCTATTATAGTCTAATTTCTCAAGCATTACCCCACATTAGAGCAATGTTTAGCTTCCTCCCCACAGGAACATCACCAGCAGCTGTTTCAACTAAAGGCACTCATATCTTAATAAATGCATTAACAACAGTTTTCCTTAGATATACTCTACATCCCTTGACAGCTTGACCTCTGTAGGGTTTACTCCAGACTATGCACATGTTCATGTACATTCGTGAAATAAGTAATACAATCTGATCAGAGGGAATGGACAGAGAGCTTTCAACTCATATTTCAATGTTGCTGGTGAATTCACATGTGCTGATACCTTTACCAAAGCACTTAGGAGGACCAATAGCTTAAGCTCAAGAATGTTCCGAAGTCCTGAATGAACTCCAGGCACAAACATTACAGTTTCCTTCCACCAAGCCTCATCCTTATTACAATTATTTCCTGAAGGATGTTGTCATTCCACAAGTGTCATTTCCCTACAAGAAATTCCTTACTTTCCGGGATGCCAGGAATTCCATCCCCCGAGCCACCTGGAAGCTGTAGCAGATGAGGTCCTGTAAGCTCAGAGAAGCTTTGCAAGGCTCCTCAGACGTTGCTGTAAAGAAATAAAAATGAACTTATATACAATGCATAAGCTACTGCACATCCTAGGCAATATAGTTAAAATTGTAGTAGACATGGTGATGATGACATATTTTCCATGGGAAGTGCTGAGGGTGGTATCTATCCTTCATCAGTTGAATTAACAGAATCGAATATTTTCCACAGGAAATACTCTTGTCTAGTTGACAGATATTTTTATTGGTTGTATAACAGGATTTTAAGAAAAACCTCATTATAGATGAATGAGAGATTAGCAGTGAATGAATACCCTGGGAACATCTGACCATGGATGGTGAAGCTAAAGCAATGCCAATTAATATTAACAACCTTGCTAATTTGAAGGTTTCTTCTCATAGAACTTAATCCTTGATTCCTTCGGATTGTTTAGGTCAGTGGTGGCTAACCTTTTTGGGCTCCTGTGCCAAAAATTGTGCGTGTGCTTGCACTTGCGCACCAGCACCCAGAAGCAATGCGTGCCCCCCCCCACACCGCCCCCTTACCTGCACTGTGCATGCGCACATCTCCCAGCTGATTTTCGGTCCTTTTGAGGCATTTTCCGGCCTCCCAGAAGCTTGAGGGAAGCCTCTGCAGCTTTTGGAGGCTGAAAAATGGGCCTATTTTGTCACTTCCGGCATTTCCAGAAATACCAGAAGTGACAAAACGGGCCTGTTTTTCGGCCTCCAAAGGCTGCAGAAGCTTCTATCGAGCCTCTGGGAGGCCTTAAAAAGGCCTCAAACATGCCAAAAATCATCTGGGAGGCACACGCATGTGCAGTGAAGTAAGTTTGGCTGGGGCTCTCACGCCTGCACAACTGGCTCTGCGTGCCACCTGTGGCATGCATGCCATAGGTTTGCCATCACGGATTTAGGTGTGTACAGGATTTTATTTCATATTTTTTATTATTCATTTCAACTTTGGTCGTAACATTTGCTTAAAAAATTATGGCAAATCTCACTTTCTCCTTCTTCCACATCACTGAGGGATCGCTCCTCGCCGAAGCCCGAGCTTGTTGAGCTCTGGCTGCTTGCAATGCTGTCCAAGCGTTTCTTTAGGTCTGCAGTGAAATCACTGTGTCCTCGCCCAGATCTGGTATTATTGGTCTATGGCAATTAAAACAAATAAAGAACAAAAGAGGCAATCAAATTTGTATCATTTTCTGTGATGGCAAGAAAAAGGAGGATGCAACCTCGTAGTTTTTAGTTGCTGGTAAATAATGGAAGCTATATAACAGGAGATGCAACAAAATTTGGCGAAAAAGATATCACCAATTTTGCTGATGCTACATATTTGCTTTACACATGCAAAGATTCCACATCACTAGTTAATCTATGTCATCTTCATCCTTCCTTTAATGAATGTCATTGTTACCCCACATTTTAATGTGATCTGCCGCTATTTTTAGCAGTTCAGCCCCAGAAATGCTGTTGGTATAACCCTTGGTTTGACCAAAGTTGCCTTCAGCTGTTTTAAACCCAGATGACACTCTTCTGCTATCAACACTGAAGATGCTTCGTTAGATAGTTTGTTTACATGGAAGGCTGCCATTTTGTTTTTTTTACCTCAGGCAGCAAAATGCTCGTGGGTGGCTCCGCTCAGAAATCTGTCCTAGGCATTTATGTCTGAGCTTTACATGGATTAGATTCTTCGTGATAACACCATCGTACCTAACTTGGGACCATTGTGTAATATGATAAAAAGAGCCTCAAGGAAGCAAATGCTATTGTACCGGAATAACATTGGCAAATGTCCCAAACTGTATCCTGATTAGTCAATGGCTTCATGTTGAAATGTTAAATTTATATTCTTCTGAGAAAAGAATAGGAGTCTAATTGCTCACCACATCTGTTGCATCTGTTAATCATTGCAAAGTGTGAAAAGGACTTAGGAAAAGTAGAGGAAGATAATAGTGGCCACAAAATCATCCACGGGGGGCCTGGGGTTGATGGCTGACTAGAAATTGAATCTGCTACACTTGTTCCAATACCTTAACTACTATATCACACAATTTATTTATTTATTTAATTTGCCAATCGCTTATAAGATATTAGGTATAGGTAAAAACATAAGTAAGAATACAGGAAAAAGGTATGAATGAATGGGGACAATAGGACAGGGACAGTAGGCACGATTGTGTGCTTATGCACGGCCCTTACAGACCTCTTAGGAATGGGGTGAGGTCAATAGTGGATAGTTTAAGATTAAAGGAGTAGGGGTTAGAGGATGCAACAACAGAGTCAGGTAGTGCATTCCATGCATTGACCACTCTGTTGCTGAACTCGTACTTTCTGCAATCAAGTTTGGAGCAGTTTACATTGAGATTTGTATCTGTTGTGTGCTCTTGTATTGTTGCAGTTGAAGCTGCAGTAGTCATTGACTGATAGAACATTGTAGCAGATAATTTTGTGTACTACGCTTAAGTCTAACTGTAGGCAGCGTAGTTCAAGGTTGTCCAAGCCCAAATTTCAACCCTGATGATATAGGGTATTCTGTTGCGAGCAGAGGAGAGTAGTACTGTTCTCGTGAAATACTTCTGGACTCGCTCGATTGTATTAATGTCCGATATACAGTGTGGATTCCAGACAGATGAGCTGTATTCGAGTATTGGTATAGCAAAGGTTTTGTATGCCTTAGTTAGCAATTCAATATTACCCGAGGAGAAGCTTCAATGTTCAACAAATTTGTTGAACAATGTTCAACAAATCTCATTATGAATACAGTGAATGGTTCTCCAGGTTCTGAAACCTCACCTTGTATGGAACAAAATCATTTCGCTTGCTTCTTAAGTAGACAGACAAATTTCCAAACTTGCAATATTCCACAATCACCATGAGTGGACCTTAAGAAAGTACAGTGAGAAAAAAGGGCAGATCGTGAAAACAGACCAAAGTATGTTTAACGTTAAAACAGAATTTAAGTCAACCATCATCAGATAGAATCTTACAAGCCTTCAGATAGCCTCAATAGTCAAGAGTATTAAGCAGCCATCAACCTGCCCCACTGATTAAGTTTTCTATTAAATATCTCTGCTTAGTTTTGTATCTTTTTTTTCTTCATGGCTAAACTCCAAGAAAGGTCTACAAGATGAGTTCTCACGTCAATCCATTCATTCATCCATTCAGAGATGTTCTTAAGTAGCAACACTCACCTCCTGGTTTTGTGCAAGCTCCAAGTAGGTTAACTACATTGAGATGATGGCCAATATGAATAAGAATTTTAAGTTCAGACATCAAGGCTCGATGTTCACTGTGTGTGGCACCCTCTACAAAACAAAAGGCACACAAATAATAGCAGTAACAGAAATATTTCTTAAGACTTATTAGAATTAGAATTAGAATTCTTCTATTTGCCAAGCGTGATTGGACACAAAAGGAATTTGTCTTGGTGCAAATGTTCTCAGTGTACATAAAAGAAAAGATCATTCATCAAGAGTCAAGAATCATAAGGTACAACATTCAATGATAGTCATAGGGTACAATAAGCAATCAAATCATACTAGGAAACAGTCAATATAAATCATAAGGATACAAGCGACAAAGTTACAGTCATACAGTCACAAGTGGGAGGGGATGCATGATAAGGAGTGATGAGAAGATTAATAGTAATAGTAGTGCAGACTTATTAAAAACCATGTCATAGTTCTTTACAATCCTCTCTAAGCGGTTTACAGAGTCAGCATTTGCCACCAACAATCTGGGTCCTCATTTTACTAACCTTGGAAGGATGGAAGGCCGAGTCAACCTTGAGCCGGTCAGGATCAAACTCCTGGAGTGAGTAGTGAGTTAACCTGCAGTACTGCATTCTAACCACTGCACCACTATGGCTCTATTTAATAAACTGAATTCCATAAATTGTAATCACAATTTATCCAACTGGCCTCAGTTAGTTGAGCTGCCAACTTCCACTCCAAAGGTGGGAAAGAATTACAAAATCCATCAGGTCTATCTAGCTTCTTTGCAGCAACATAAGATAAACGAGCACCTTAAAAGTTTGCTCTAAACCTCAAGTCACATTTACTAAAGTATCTTACAGGAATGGTCACTCTACCCGGAGTTCTTTTGGACTTTCCTTGGAGCAATTAAAATTTGTATTTTATGCCTGTTCTCTGATGTTGCAGTAGATTGTTTCTTTCTACTGTAGACAAGTCTAAATTATGAGAGGAGTTTTTTTTTTAAGGCAAATCACAATAGAGATCAAAATAGTATTTTATCAAGATTTCTGAGCAAACTTAATAGAGATTTATTATTATTAGAAACTGCATAGAGAATGTGTATATACAGAGGTCTCTAAACTTGGCAACTTTAAGACTTGTGGACTTCAATTCCCAGAATTCTCCAGCCAGCTATACTGACTGGAGAATTCTGGGAGTTGAAGTCCACAAATCTTAAAGTTGCCAAGTTTGAAGACCTCTGATGTGCATAGGAACTAGGCATTAGTTAATGTGTAAGAGTCCTGCAGAATTTACATATACAAATACCACGTGTAAGGAATATGAGGGCAATCTAAGATGACCAATTCTTCAGTCCAGCAATTTATCCATTGGTCAGAAAATTTAGATAAGGTAACTTTTTACTGTCATTTTTTTTATTGAAAGCACACTGGCCCACATTAAAAAATGACATTCTGTTGCCTGCTTTCAAGAGAAAGTGTATAGTTACCCAAACACACACATAACACACATGTACCCATGCTACATATATGGGTATAATAATGACTCTATTCTTTCCATTTAGATGATACATGCTTGCTAATATTAAGAGGTTTGTATTGTGTAAAACACTGTCCAGCAACAGCTAATGATTACCCAGAGTAGATAGGAAATGCAGAAATGCATCTGCTAATACATTAATACTATTAATGGACATATTACCTGTCTTTTGGTAAATAAAGACAATGGTCTGAACCAAAGAATAAAGCAGAAAAACATCTTTTATCCCTAAAAACAACTAAATACAGAACAACAATTCTCCTTGTCCAAGAGTTATAATTGTAAGTTTGCTTATCATCGCTTCCTTGCTAGGTGTGTGTAGATTCTTGATTCTTACCTTTAAGCATTTTGACAGCTACAGTGCTACAAGTAGTTGTTTTGTCAATCCCAAATGCATCAGCTTCGATCACTTGACCAAATGCTCCTCTCCCAAGTGGTTTTCCTAGATACATAGGAAAAAAGAAAAGAGGGATATTTATCCTTAAATGGCAGGAAAGAAATTTACCCATTCCATTAAAAAAATGTGGAAGGAAAAAAATCTAATAGCAATAAGACTTATATGCCGCTTTATAGTGTTTTACAGCCCTCTCTAAGCGGTTTACAGAGTCAGCATATTGCCCCCAACATTTTGGGTCCTCATTTTATCCACCTCAGAAGGATGGAAGGCTGAGTCAACCTTGAGCCTGGTGGGATTTGAACTGCCAAATTGTAGGCAGCTGGCTGCAGAAGTGGCTTGCAGTACTGCACTCTAACCACTGTACCACAGAGGCGATAGTGCCCTGTCTTTTTCTATATTCCGCCACACGCCTCTTTGACTGTCTGATGGCCTCCCTCCTTCCCTCAACTAAAAGTTGGGACCTGGCTGGCTTCCAGTGCTAATTAAAACCCATGAACCCTCCTGGGAAACTCAAACAACTAACCGGCTGACAATGAATATGTTGAAGCACAGCCCTGTCAACAACCTACGACGTCTACAAATTTACTCTGTGGCCTTAGGAACGCCCACATGTTCTTTGCATGTAAGAATTTTCCCAGTGGAGGTGCCAAGCACAAATAGGATAACTTTCTAAGTGTCCTGTGATTTTCCCCTTATATCCTTATATCCAAAGGTGGGTATTCAGCTGTTTCTGATCAGTTCTGGAGAACAGGTAGTGGAAATTTTTAGTAGTTTGGAGAACTGGACAAATACCACCTCTGACTGGCCCCGCCCCATCTATTCTCCGCCTCCAGAGCCCCAGCTGATTGGCTGGGTCTTCTTTCATTGCCCTGCACAGGAGAACGGAGCTGGAAAGCAGGTTAGTGGGGTGGGGAGGGAATGGAGATTTTACAGTATCCTTCCACTGCCACACCCACCAAGCCAAGCCATGCCCACAGAACCGTTAGTAAAAAAAATGGAATCCCACCACTGTTGCAGGTATGGACTAACCCAGGGTCTTCAAACTTGACAGCTTTAAGACTTGTGGACTTCAACTCCCAGAATTCCTCTTCCAGTCATGTTAGCTCAGGAATTCTGGGAGCTGAAGTCAGAATGGTGGCCATGATGGTTTGATTGAAGTGTCTCAACATGTTTATGTGTATTGATTTGACCAACATTCAGCCAACATTTCATTCCCCATTAGACATATCAATCTCCCTTGATGTGTTTGAAAATTTTCTCTCTTGGGGTCTCCACTTTAGTTCTGCACATTTTGAAGCGTATTCAGCTGGTTCTGACTAGTTCTGGAGAACTGGTAGCGGACATTTTGAGTAGTTCGGAGAAACACCTCTGACTGGCCCCACCCCCATCTATTCTCTGCCTCCCAAGTCCCAGCTGATCGGCTGGGTCTTCTTTGGTTGCCCTGCACAGGAGAAGGGAGCTGGAAAGCAGGTTAGTGGGGTGGGGAGGGAATGAGGATTTTGTAATATCCTTGCCCTGCCATGCCCACCAAGCTACACCCACTAAGCCACGCCCGCAGAACTGGTAGTGAAAAAAAAATGGAATCCCACCACTGCCTATATCCACCCCCCAAAAATTCTAATTTAATGGTTATCAGGAGTATTGGTCCCAAGGAAGAGAGCAAACCTAGCTTCAGCCTATCCCGAGGGAATTCCCATTTGTTGGCATCGTAAGGGAGACGTTCACACTGCTCATCCATAGGGACTTCATCAGGATCCATGATGATAGACAGGTAGCCCGTTTTTAGTTCTCCTCCATTGGCCTGAAAGAAACACAATACCAACAATAGCAGCTTACACTTATGACAGGTAAGTCCTCAACTTACAGCCACAATGGAGCCCAGAACTTAGGTTGCTAAGTGAGCTTTTGCCCCAATTTTATGACTTTCCTCTGCACATTCATTTAAATGAATCACTGCTACAGTTATTGTTAAATGAGTAACGCAGTTGTTAATCTGGTTTCCCCCTTTGACTGAGCTTGTCAGAAGGTCGCAAAAGGGGATCACATAGCCCCTGGGCCTCTGCAACCATTATAGCTGCCACAGAGCAGTGGTGGCGCAAGTGGTTAGAGTGCAGTACTGCAGGCTACTTCTGCTGACTGCCGGCTGCCTGCAATTTGGCAAGTTCAAATCTCACCAGGCTCAAGGTTGAGTCAGCCTTCCATCCTTCCAAAGTGGGTCAAATGAGGAGCCAGATTGTTGGGGGCAAGAGGCTGACTCTATAAACTGCTTAGAGAGGGCTGTAAAAGCACTGTGAAGCGGTATATAAGTCTAAGTGCTTCTTGCTATAGATGTGAGTCAGTTGTCAAGCTTCCAAATGCAAATCACATGCCCATGGGGATGCTGCAATGGTAAGTATGGAAAAATGGTGACGAGTCCCTTTTTCCAGTGCCGCTGTAATTTTTGAACGAGTCGCTAGGTGAACTGTTGTAAGTCGAGGACTACCTGTATTGAGTCACCTGCCCTCTCTCACGTTTACTAGCATGAGTTAAGATTTGACATTTCCTTTTTTCTTCTTCTTCTTCCAGAAATGCAAAAACGTTGTTTCCCACAAGAACTCTATGAGGCACGTACCCATCAACCATCATTAGAAACTTGCTCTATTAATATTTGAAAAGGACTCTCTTTCTTTCTCTCTCTCTTTCTTCATCTCTCTCTCTCTTTCTCTCTCTCTCTTTTTCCCTCCCTCTCTCTCTCTTTCTCCCTCTCTCTCTCTCTCTCTGTCTCTCTCTCTCTTTCTCCCCAGATTGTTGGGGGCCATAGGCTGA